CCCCCCCCACTACCAGGTGGCAAGTAGTTATTTGAGATTCTGAATGAAGTGATGGATATATTGATTCAAATTTTTTACGAAATATGTCAAAATCGTGAAAAATTACAAGCTTAGATTACAATAATTATAAAAAAAACTTGAACGTTAACCGATTCACTCGTAAAACAGCGATTTACTATCAAATAATTTTAGATTTTTTTCATTGTTAAAAATTACTAGTCGTAGAAACTTAAAACATACACCAGTTGTTTAAATTGGTATTTTCTGTAGATGATTTAATTTTAGGGTAGTTATACTGTAGTATAAAATGCACTTAAAATAGTTATTAATTTAATATTTATATTTATATTGATATTATAGAATATTATACATTACATTTTACATGCATAAAAATGTGTTTATTTAATATATATATAGGTATATGTTACGGTAAAAGTACGAATACCGGTAAATCCTAGATTTCGCCGACTACTGTTGGTAAAACCTATGATACACAACATCGTTTGGTCAAACCCCGAATGATTTTTGTAGTTCGAACTTTTACAAACGAGATTTGGTATATCTTAGGATAAACAATCAGTGTTAGGAAAAGTCCAAAAAGTTTTACTAAAGTTATTCATTATTATTATTATTATTTAAGTATATTAGGTAGGTACTACATCAATGACTAATATATTAAATACAAACATTTATATTATTGTTATATATTCCAGGTATCAAATTTGCACAGAGGTATACTAGACCTAGTCTTCTCAAATGAGACAAGACTATCTGTCGTTAAATCTGATGTTGTTACTGGTGCCTGCGATGCGTATCATTCTGCATTAAAAATCAAATTTGCTATGAACAGTGAACTGCCTCTCGTTTATAATACTCATGAATACTTTGACTTGCGTCATGTTAATTATACTAAAATATCTGTATTTCTTATTTCGTTCAATTGGTTGGAAACTATTAGGTTACCTACTTGATTTTAATTCTTCTACTGATGCACTGTATGATGCTTTACATTTTTGTGTGTTAAATTTCGTTCCTAAAGTGATATATGTTTTTTAAAGATCTTAAGTCAATTGTTTTTCAAACTGCTATTCCTGATAGTAGATTCCTTATTTTTGTGGATGATTTCAAATTTTTTAGAAGAATTGATTCGTTTGCTGACTGTTTAACTCATCAAGACGAATTTAAAACACTTGTGTTGTGGTTTAAATCTATTGGGTTACAATTTAATATTGACAAATGTAAGTCTATGTATTTTACTGTAAAATTAAGTCTCGTTTAAACCCAACCCATTCAAAAAAATGTCTTGTCATCTTGCACTACAGATTATTAGCAACAGTGTCGCATCTGCTATAAAAAAGTGTGTCCATACAAAAGAATTAAAATCTCAAACTGCTTTCAACACTGATGATTTTTTGGTGGAATCAATTAATACATTTGATTGTGAAAGAGTCAACAGCTGAATGACAAAAACCCTAACCGAAGGCCGATGAGTGTTCAAAATCGACAAATATTTGAAAATATTAATAAAACAATTTCAACATTCAAAGTAGCAAAAAAGTTACGTCACGAAAATAATATAATATCAGGACCACCCTGTTTTACAAGAATGATATTGTCTTTAAATGTTTAATACTATTATACCTTATACGAAACAGAAAAAATATATAATTGAATCATCGGACAGAAAAACATTTTTTTTATTCACTGGAAGATTAAACCAAAACCCACTTGAAAACATGTTGTCAATAATCAGACAAAAAATGGGTATAACAGAAATCCGATTGCTCGACTATTTCGAACCTGTTTTGCAGCATCTATTAATTTACATAAATGAAAACATCGGAAAAATGTAACTGTGAAAATGATGAAAGTTTAACTGTTGATTTATTATCAGGCATTTAAACCGAAACAAATATAAATTATCAATTAATAGAAAAAAAATGAAGAAATACAGGTGGATAATTCAGGTTAAAAAAAGGTAGAACATTTTTAAATGAAATTATTGATTCAAAATTAACATGGTTATATAATTTATAGATATATCTCAAGATTCTGAAATAAATAATTCAAATGATGCAAAGGATGTATTAGTTCAGTCAGCAGTGATGGTAAATTCATTAGAGGAAAAGGATAAAGAAAGATTGTTACTTTTAAAGTCTTTAAGTGACACAAGATGGGCATGCCATTCTGAGGCTTGCCGTGCACTCACTATTAATTATAAAATTATATTAACTGTACTTTTTGAAATATCTGATAGAAAAAATGAAAATGGGTATACAAAATATAATGCAAAGGTGTTGCTGAAAAAAATGTTGAAAAAAGAAAC